CGTTGAAGTTCGATAAGGGACGTGGTAGGTGATGCGGCTTACTATGCAGGCATTAACTATACGTAGAATGTCTTGCTCCTGAAGTCCATGCCTTCGGTTGGTGATGCGGCAGTCCATATGCGTGATTTGAGAAACTTTCTGTTCTAATATTTTCATGATGTGTGTTGCCTTGAGATGAGCATGTATATGAAGGCCAAGGACCTGGAGTTTCTGTACGAAGGGAATTATATGGTCCTCTGAGGTGACTGTGATTTGCGGGCTGTTGTCGGGCTTTCGCTGGAAACGACGAATGAGTAGAAGTTCCGACTTATTTGCAGAGCACGTTAGACCACCTGCTCGTGCGTATGCTTGAAGTGCATTTACTGCTTCTTGGAGGGCATGTTGTATTTGTCCGTCTGAGCCTTTGATCACCCATATAGTGATGTCGTCGGCGTATAAAGCATGTCGCAGACTTTGAATGAGGGCGAGTAGGGGTGGTAACCTAGCCATAGCGACGTTGAAGAGTGTCGGGGATAACACCGATTCTTGTGGCGTGCCTTTACCCACGAGCTTGATGATGTCACTGCGAAGACAGCCTAATCCTATGGTTACCGTCCTGTTTGTTAGGAATGCTTTCACATAGTCGTAAACTCGTCGTCCGCAACGTGTCGACGCGAGATTCTCCAGTATTAGGTCATGCGAGACGTTGTCAAACGTACCGCGGATGTCCAAGGCAGCAGACCTCTAGTTTGCGTAGAACTGAGCCTGTCCATTACTTCCTCTTTTGGTTGGAGAAGTACGTCTTGAGGGGAAGGATGGGCCCGGTGCCCAAATACTGGGTCCGGAAAAAATTCCTGGGCCTCAAGATATGGTTGCAGTCTTTGGAGGATGACGTGCTCCATCAATTTGCCGAGACAAGACGTCAGCAAGATCGGTCGCAGGTCTCCAAGCTCTAGGGGTTTGCCGAACTTAGGAATTAGTGTTATTTCGGCATGTCTGCCCCGCCATGGTGGTCTAGTGGCTAAGGTACTCGGCTGCTGACCCGCAGGTCGCGGGATCAAATCCCGGCTGCGGCAGCTGCATTTCCGATGGAGGCAGAAATGTTGTAGGCCCGTGTGCTCAGATTTGGGTGCACGTTAAAGAACCCCAGGTGGTCGAAATTTCCGGAGCCCTTCACTATGGCGTCTCTCATAATCATATGTTGGTTTTGGGACGTTAAACCCCACATATCAATCAATCAATCTATCTATCTATTTCGGCATGTCTCTATTGCTGGGGTAATGTTCTGGATTTCCGGTGAGTGTTGTAAAAATCTGTGAGCTGTTCTAGATCTCTGTCGTTGAGGTTTCGTATGAGAGGGCATTGGATGTTGTCTTTTCCTGGTGCTATGTTGCGCTTGATAATCAGAAGGGCAGCTCAAACTTCATGCACAGAGATATCAGCGTACAGCAATGTTGACTCTGTATATGGGTAGTTTTTATGTTTTGGCTGAGGGCCTGAGTGATGTACTTTTCTTGAAACGTCTGTAAGATACTGTTCTTGCATCCATCCTGCTTGTGAAGAAGTGTTGGGGTGGTACTGCTCGTGCAGGACTTCGTACCTTTGGGGTCAACAAGGGCTCTTAGTATGCCCCACGTGTGCGCAGTGCTTAGCGCTCCATTAAGTGAGTTAGAAAAGTTGTGCCAATTGTTTCTCGTGAGCTCTGTGGCGTATTGTTCAGCTTGCAACGTGAGTTGAGCAATGATAAGTTTAACTTGTGATTGTGTCTCTGCCTACGCCAGCGTTTTACGAGGCTTCTGCGTGCTTCCCACAGGTGTAGAAGGTGCCTGTCGACATCTCGAATTGTGGTTGAAGGGCTTATCTTCTTGGTCGCTTTATCAAGGTCAGCTTGCAGGCACTGCAGCCATTCAATTAAAGGTGTCCCATTGTTGTCAGTCTGAGCGCATTGCTTTCTAAATGTATCCCAATAAGTGAGATGGACCTTCTGCTCTGGAGCACAGGGGTTGGAGATGTGCAGTGTAGTTGAAATTATGCAATGATCACTACCTAATGTTTCATGTATATTTGACCAGTTATAATTGCTTAGTCCCGTTACAAAGGTTAGGTCAAGGCACGTATCTCTGGTTGCGCTGGTTCCAATTCTGGTTGGCTCTTGCAGATCTGTGAGCAGTGTAAATCTGTGATTGTAGATGAGGTGTTCTAACTTGGTACCTTTAAGCGTGGCCGATAAGTATCCTCATGACGTTTCTGGGCGTTCAAATGACCAATCACTACAACTTGTTCCCCCTAGCTCGCACATTTTCGCTATAAGGTATTCGAAGTCGTCCCTCCTAGATTTAGGGGAGCTGTATATGTTTTGTACAAACAAACTCTGCTGACTGCGTTTATGAGGAATAATTTCAAAAAGGACATGTGGAATGGATGACGTCAGTGTGTGTTCTATAGTTGTCAAGTGTTTGGATACGAGTATTGTGACAAGTGATGGTGTTTGTTGATCTGTATATGTATGGAAGCCCAAGAGGGTAGGTGTGCAGTGCGTCTTCTGCAGAGCCACGATATCCGGAGGGTGCGCGAAAGTGGCAGTGTACTGTTGCAGGGAGCTCCTCTTTCGTCGTAACCCCCTGCAGTTCTACTGCCACATGGTGAAGGCAGGACTAGGAGAGCCCATCTTGCTCTTTTTGGTCTGTGTCCTCAGTTAAGAGTGATGGGCGGGTGTAAGGGCGAGGTCACTTGGTCAGACTTTTGGGGTTTGTAGCTAGTGGCAATGAGTCTTGGGGCTCTGTACTAATTGACGCGAAACTTTCTTGTATGTGCTGCTTTAGCTCTGTTACAAGTACTTGGGTGTGGGTCTTTAACATATCCCTAAGTTCTGCACGGAAAGCATTAATTGGCTGAGTGATTATGCTGGTTACTTCAGCCCTAAGCAAGCCTCTCAGTTTTGTGAGAGCATCTTGCAGCTCTTGCTTAGTGCAGTTATGTGCGTTAGATGTGAAAGTGATGGGGTGGTTGTGTGATGAGGGTGGTTGTGTGATGAAGGTAGATGGGAGAAATTAGGTAAAGAAGATTTCAGGCTGGGAGGCCCAGTTGCCCAACTTACTTTAGCCGGAGGCGTCTGTCCAGCGGGTGCTGGCTTCTTGGCTGGTGGCAATTCTGGTCTCTCCGCCCTAGCGGCTTTGTTCTTTTGGGGGATCAGTCCCAGGGTGGTGGTGCTGGTTTTGGATTGGGTTCCTAGCGTGTTGTTTAAGGATTCTAAGGCCCGGTCCTTAGACTTCCCTGTGCTCTTGGATTGGCTGCGCCTTGCTTTGGACCTGGGCCGGTGTTCCATTGATGGTGATGTAGGCGGTGGTGCTAACGCGTTCGCCTCCAGTGCTTTTTTGACGTAATGCTCGTTCAGAGGTTTCTGTTCCCTAGCTCGCCGGACATTTGGGGTGCGTAGCTGGGTGCTCACCCTTATAGTAGAAGCATTGAGTTGTACAGCTGTGCTCCGGCGCTGGTGTCTCAAATCTACAGGCTTGGCATCGACGTTTTGTCGGGTTTGGGCATACGTCTGCCGGATGTCCAAATGCAAGGCAGATTGTGCAAACTTGTTTGCGAGGTCGGTGAATGCAGCATCAGTATTCCGCGCGGTAGTAGTAGACATAACGAAGTTGAAGGCCTGAAAAAGTTATCAACGCGGTGTTTGTGGATCCCATCATTCGGGCGTGCAAGACTTCGGCTTCGGGTGCGTAGATGTTGTCGAGGAGTTCGGTGAGTGAAGTATTCTTCTCTGGGCCGATAATGACTCCCTTGCAAGAATTGTCTGGAGTGGCTACATAAGCTTGCATTTCATATCTCTGCGATCCTAAGTTTAGTGCAGTGACGGCTTGCAACTTTGTAGCAATAGTTTCATCTGGTGTGCTCGCGATGACTATATTGAGTTCCGCTTAGATGCGAAAAATGAGCTTGTTGACTGTTTCTCGTGGTATCTCAGCAGCCATGCAGATGGCGTGTGCCAACACGTGATGTGCCCATTCACAGAGGCGAAGGCCTTCTAATGATCGGAAGGCTACCTTGAAGTCATCCACAGGTATGGGTAGCAGCTGCGGGGTCACTTGATTTTTGCCAGGCTAGGGCTCAGGTGCAGAATTCGTTGTGGTCTTGGACTTGCGTCGCTAGGCAGCAGTGAACCAAAAACCATCGCCTGTATCCACTGGATATTCGTTGGTGTCTGCAGCATTCATTGCTGCTGATTCGATGGTAGAAATCTGAGAATTCATGCCTAAGCAGTGTACATCAGGCACACACCAAATGTCACTGCAACACACTCGCCGTTCGCATAAACGTGGCCAAGCGCCTAAAGTTACAGCGGCGTTAGTGTGTTGTCACGGAGGCGCAGATGCATTGGCCATGCTTGGTAACTAGAATGTTGTTGAGAAGAGCACTTTCACGTTTTGAAACACTTTAAACAGCCTTGGCTGTGAAAGTCCTCATCGGAAAGTCTGAAGTAGGTCTGTTCAACGAGAGCGTCGTGGACAAAGGCCCATGAAAGCGTCCAAGGACTGGGAATAGCGATGGACGAATACGTCCATTCAGTTCCACGGCCGATTGAAGAGTCTCGCGCCAGAGCTCACGTTTTGCTAGCGTAGCATCGCTGTGCCCAGCGTACCCACTCAAACAAGAAGAGAGAACGCGCACATCACGTTCCTTTGTGACACTGCCATTTTCTCCAGAGAGAGCGCGTGTGTTTCATTGGTAGATTCACTTGTGTTGCTTTCCGCCAGAGGGGAGTGCTCAGGCACAGAGTTCGTGGGTCACTTCAAATCCGCCAATTGATGACGCCATAAGACGCGACAAATCGTTTTGCTCTTTAGCGTCCCTTCAAAAGTGGTATAGGCAATGAATACTGTGATCAGCGCAATAAGGAGTGTGATGCCGAATCCTTGTTGAATGAACGTACGAGAGTATTGTGAATGTACAACCTGGAATAATTTACCCCAATAATTCAGCATTGAAAATTCTCACTATTTTACCTATTAATGCAGCTCCACAACGGCGAAGTGTTTTGTGCAGTGTTACACCAAAACCTGGACCATGTCCGCCAATGAAACAAACGTGGTATTTTGATCAGACAAGTGGATTTTGTAAAAGATATCCTCCAGGAACATGTGGAGCATCTGCGAATAGATTTTCATTGTGTGAAACGTGCACATGGCGATGCACCGGTAAGCTCCTTTTTGTTAGAGCAAGGCTCTCTTTGTCTACCCTGTGCCATCGTTGTCGTAGTTGTAGTAGTAGTAGTAGTAGTAGTTGTAGTAGTAGCAGTAGTAGTAGTAGTAGTAGTAGTAGTAGTAGTAGTAGTAGTAGTAGTAGTAGTAGTAGTAATTTTCAAAATGCAGCAGAAGCGCAAGAGCGCGCAAGCTAGCT